CATGAAATGAAAAAGATGTATGAGAATTGTTAGAGTTCAAGAGAGAAAACCAAGTTGAACCCAAGATCACATTTTGGAGAAGAATAAAAAAAAAAAAAATCACAGGAAAAGAAATCAAGAATTAATGAAAAAATGAGAGAGGACCCAGGAGATTATTTGCATGGCCTCCTCCTCCTGGAGCTTGAGTGGCTCTGATTATTATTATTAATCAGAGACAATGCCTCCTGGATTTCTCTCTGCTCTGTGCAAGAGAGATGAAATTGGATTGCATGATTAAAACTAGGGGCAGGGAAAGAAATGGGAATAAATGGCAGGAAAAGAAAATAATAGATTACGGGTTTATTGTTTTATGAAAAACTGTAATAGCTGGTGCTGAATCTTTTTCTCAATTTTCATATTTGTTTTCTGTTTCTGGTTATGTTTTTTTTTTTTTCTCTTTTTTTTTTTTCTCCCATTTTCTTTGCTTTGGGTTTCTTGTGTGGAAGCAGAAGACCCGGTCATGCGTTAAATGATGGTCTCTAGAATTTTAGAATGACTCACCCCAGCCTTGTCAATCTGTCATGGCCCTTGTTTTCTTTGAGGAGGGCACGTCTTTGCTGGTTTTCAACATCCCACGTATGAAGCCAGTTGTGTTTAATAACAGTCATATATAAATACATTTTGTTTAAAAAACCCAAAATAAAATTAAAAAAACAAGAAAGGAAATTGCAGAACATCTCATATTTGAACTGGGAATATACCATATTTATAAATATAAAAAACTAAGACCTAATTGAGTGATTGACCCAATCACCAACTGCTTCTTGAATTGATTGAGAAGTGGTTGAGTTTTGGTAGAATGGTTGTGGCTTTTCTATGTTAAATCTGCAAATTTAAAAGAAGCCGGGTCAAAACAAGGTCTTGAAAAAAATAGGAAATTCCGGAGGAGGTACTTTTGATGGTGTTCTATAATCATAAATAAGAATATTAGGGTATGTTTATGTATCAGTAATGGAGAAAGTAAGGAATCAGAGAATTTAGGAATCGGGGAAGTATTGAATCGATATGGAAAGAATCATTCACATTAAGCTGTTTACTAAACATATGGAATTAGCAAAGGAATGGGGTTGATTCCCATTGTTATTGTTTACTAATTTTCATGAATCAGAATCCAAATTAATTTGATTACTAAAATGCCCTTCACATTTTCACCACAGCACATATATAATTCTCAAATTGGCTAAGGAGACCAAACTAATCCTGCAGCAAACTAGTAAGGCGATATAAACATGAGAAATCAATATGCTGAATAAGATGAACAGCAAGAGCCTAGTTCAATGATAATGTTAATAACGCCTTTGGCCAGAGCCAATTTCAAACGAAAAAATAAACTCCAATAAATATATATCTTTAACCTACATAACTAGTAAACAATCAAATAATAATAACCTGCATAATCTTCATACGATTAAATACATAATCGTCATACTACCAAAAAAAGAGATATATAATCTCCACAAAAGTCATTCACCCATTACTCATCAATCACAATCACTGTAAGCCATACTCTATAAGATTAAAGGCTTATTTATGTACATGCTTCTTGTGCTTTCAAAGTTGTCTCAGATTACCACATATTCTTTTAAATGTTTCAAAATACCCCTTACCCTTTTAAAAACTGTCTCCCGTCACCCATTCCGTCAGTATTAAGAGACGTTCCGTTACATGGTGTGGGCCCCACTTCTTTTAAATCGCTTAATAATGAAGAGTAAGGGTTATTCAGTTTCAAAAAAGGGGAAATTGGGTGAGAATGGGAAATTGGGAGAAGAGAGCTTGGATTAAGAAGAGGGCTAGGGTTATTCAGTTCATTGCTCATCCACTCTGACATC